TTGGTTATGTTCTACTATGATGTTTGATTTTGTCCCAAAGTAGTGCTGTATGTGATCTATTCTTTGATTATGACTAAAGTTGAAAGTGTTTTTATATTGAAGGGTTGGGATTACAATTATATTCTAATCCCAATATTATTTACACCGTGCCTTCAGGCACGGGCATACACTAGTATTTTATAATTTAATAGTTTAAGGTAAAGATGCATATAGTATGTATATTTTTTGGGGGTTAATAGTAGAACCTCGGCCTTGAATAGAGAATCTCAGGTTACAATTTGTACTTAGGTGGATCTGACAATAGTAGAACCTCGGGCTTGAATAGAGAATCTCAGGTTACAATTTGTGCTTAGGCGGGTCTGACCATCTCTCAACATAACTTAGACTGAACTTGGACAACCTTTCAACCTGCTCAAATTGCACTTCTAAATAGATCCTTAGCAGTTCCTTTTCTTTTCTTCTTCGTATGGATTTTGATAGTCTTAATTTGGAGTTGGAGACTTTTCAAGGATACAAGTTTGTTGAAAACTTGGTAGCCCAACTTCATAATTTTGGGTGCTGGGTTGGAAGTCTTCCCAATTTGTTGATTTTAGAAAATTTGTGCTGCGTACTCGAAAGAGTCGGTTCGTAAAACGTGGCCCCGTATTGAGCCTAATTCGGCTATCCCAAATCCAACCCTAAACAAAATTCAAATCCCAGACCAGCCCACTGTACTAATATGTATGGGCTAATTTGGACCTTTGAACAAATCTTGCTATAGTCTAATTATTTGAAATATGACAAGCCTTATCTGAGTCACATTCTTCAAAGTTTTGTTTTAAGTACACAACATATAATATTTATTAGGGGGAAAAAAATTACACAACTTAAATGACTAGCGTATTCATAGTATTCCAAAAATATAATAGTAACAAAAAAAATAAAAAACATAATTTCAAATTATTCAAGGTGGAAGTTCAAACTACTATTACTACCACTACTAAAAAAAGCCTAATAATCATCCATTTCATTATGATCATCCAAAAATATGTGTTAACAACAAAAACAATCATCTATTACATGATAATTATCCAAAAACATCAATAAAAACAATCACACATTACATGATCATCATTCAAACGCATACTAAAAATTAATTAGGTAAAAATATAAAAATGTAAAAGATTTATTATTTTTATATAATTTTATGTTTGGTGGGTAGAAATAATTTTTAAAAATTCAAAATTAACTTTTTGACATTTATTTTTATCAAATTAGTTTATATTTTATCAAATTGATGAATTTGCCCTTGAAATGAAGCATTTTTTTTGTTTGCAAAGGAAACAATATCTTCAATTATTTTTATTTGGAATGAGATTCAAAACTAAGAGTCAAATATATCACAATTAAAATATTAGGAATTAAAGTAACACAAGTCCCAAATTAAAGGAATCATTAATATAATTCGCCCCAAAAAATACATGATGGTTACTGGAATTTTTCTAATCCTACCTTATGTTCACATGATTCATATAGTGGTATTGCCATGAAGTTAGAGATTCTCTATACCCAAAATCTCATGATCCCTGTACTTAATGAACAATCAACCATATGATATGTCAAGAATCTCAAAATACAGAAAACTCAAGACACAATTATGTGATTGAGAGTGCTTTTAATACATGGGAATGAAAATTTTGGGTAAGACGATCTATGCTATTCTATAAGTAGAAGCTAGCTAGAGTACACACTTCATAAATATATCATGAAAGCATTATACATAAATAATTCAATAAATTTAGAAACGCACCCCAAAGGAAATAACTTGTGAAACAATACATAATCAACTTCGATTTCCGTGTCCCCCCTTTTCTCCCTGCTCAGCTTGCGCTGTTTCCTTCCAAAATTCTCGATGAACCATTCATGGTACCTTGTGGTTATTTTGTGCCCAATAACCATCCCAACTACTATCCCACTCACATATCCCGCGCATATGAAAATCCATTCAACTTTACTTGGGAACGTTGAATCATTATCTTGTTCTGAGTTCAATGGTGGTGATGCCTCTAACTTTCCACATTTCCTTGATAAAGGGTCTCTGCACAATCCTGAATTCCCCTCGTACGAATTGTTCTCGAATGTGTTGAATTGTTTCCCATGTGGAATGGGTCCAGTGAGATGGTTATTTGAGACATTTAAAAATTCAAGGAAAGTGAGAAGTGCTAGTTGCTGAGGGATTTCTCGCGAGAGCTTGTTTTGTGAAAGGTCCAAAGATTCAAGGTTTGTTAGGTTCCTGAAGCATGATGGGATTCCACCATTAAGGTTATTGTTGGAAAGGTTAAGCAGCTTAAGCCCCTTAAGGTTTCCAATTGTAACAATAATTTGAGAAATAGAGGAGATAGCAAATGAATAACTCTATATTTCTGTACGTTTTTACAAGAAGATGAACACTCTCTTTATAGAGAGGAGATGACAGCATAGGATGCTAAGTTGAGGCACCGAAAGCATAAAGCAAGGGGACACTAATTATTAAAGCTAAACACTAACATATAATAATATACTAACAGCCCCCCTCAAACTCAAGGAGGATAGGTACTAACCAACTTGAGTTTGGAGAGAGTAACAAAACAGGAAAGTAAACTGATAAATAAAATAAAATAGGATAGGAGACACTGTATGTTTGTATCAAATCGTTGTTGAAGACACGGTATGGTCGTGTCACACCGTTGGAGAAGACACTGTATGGCCGTGTCGGACCGTTGTAGCAGATAATGTCTGGACAGTTTACGAGGTCATGCCGGACCGATGTAGAAGCTAACCGGAATCAATGTCGAGACAGTTTACGGGGTCATGCCGGACCGTTGTAGAAGCTAACCGGAATCAATGTCGGGACAGTTTACGAGGTCATGCCGGACCGATGTAGAAACTGACCGGAATCAATGTCGGGACAGTTTACGGGGTCATGCCGGACCGATTGTAGAAGACTTTGGTGGTGCACCAAGGGGGCGACTTAGGAAGTGCGCCATGGGGTGACTTAGGTGATTCGCATGGTGTATAACCATGCTCATCAACTTGGGTGGTTCACATAGTGTGTAACCATGCTCACCATGATATATGTATAACCCCCCCCCCCTCAACAAATAGGTGTGAAGATAGA